TCTCAATGTTGGAGGTGGGCCTGGTGAAAGGTGATACAACCATTTGGGTAGATTACTCATAAATGACTTAGCACCATCCCATTTTGTACCACCCTCATGATAGCGAGTGAGTTCCTGTAAGATCTGGTTATTTAAAAGTGTGTAACAATTTGCCCCTCTGTTTTTCGCTCCTGCTTTTTGCTCTGTGATGTGCAAGATTTTGCTTCAACTTTTGCCATGATTGTAAACTTCCAGAGGCCTCCCCAGAAGGATATGCCAGTGCTATGTCTTCCGTACAACGGGTAGAATCATGAACCAGTTAAGCCTCCTTTTTAAAAATAAATTACCTAGTCTCAGGTATTTATAGTGATGCAAAAATGGCTTAATACAGAAAATTGGCACTAAAGAGTGGAAAATTGTCATAAGAATACCTGAAAATGTGGAATCAACCTTGTAATTGGGTAAACAGGCAGAGATTGGAAGAGTGTGTAGGACTCAGAAGAAGATAGAAAAATGAGGGAAAGTTGACCTTTTCTAAGTGACTGGTTGAATGGCTGTGACCAAAATGCTGACAGTAATTTGGACAGTGAAGGCTAGGCTGAGGAGGTCTCAGATGAAAATTAGAAACGTATTGAGATAGAAGCAAATGTCATGCATGTTATGTCTTAGCAAAGTGGTTGGGTGAATTGGGTTCATGCCCTAGAGATATATAAACCTTTGAATGATAGTGATAATTTAGGGCTTCTGTTGGAAAAAATGTCTAAGAAACAAAGCATTTGAGATGTGGCCTGGCTGCTTGTAACAACTTATGCTCACATGTTGGAGCAAAAAAACTAAGTTGTAACTTATATTTACAAGGGAAGCTTAGTGTAAAAGCCTGAAAACTGAGCCTAGCCATGTGGCAGAAAAATAACAGAGCTTTATAAGAGAAGAACTCTAGTAGGCTGTGTGGCAACCAGCGTTAGAGATATTTGCATAACTTAAAAAAGACAACATGTGTTGATAGCCAAGACAATGGGAAAGAGGACTTCAAGACATTTTAGAAATCTAAGAGGCAGCCCTCCATCACAGGCTCTGAGGTCTAATGAGCTAGCTTAGGTCAAAGGTTTATCGTTATTGTTAAAACCAATAGCTTCTGCCTTTAGTGAGTATATCTGCACTTCCCAAATTTAATTATAACTCTTTCTCTTTATAGTTACTTGTAAGTAGAGACACTAAGACAGTGCACTCCTGCTCTTGATTTCTGAGGATGCCCAACTCTGTAATGGAGTCATTTCTAATAACCTTGCTTTTTTCACTTTGCTCTCTGACTCACTTCAGATTTTTTTCTGCACAAGACCTAAGAATCCTCCTTTGTGGTCTGTATCAGGAACCTCTTTTCTAGCAACATCTTTCAGCAACACCATGAAGGGGCACCAAGATAAGACCCCTGACTACAAGGAAAACAATCCACACAGAATCAATCAGCTGACATCGGGTAAGTGGGGCATCTTTTAGAGTTGGGAAGCCATTCTGGTGGGTAAGAATGATTATTCACTATCACCTAAGCGAGAGGCCCTACAGTATAATGTTAGGGTGAGAGACTCAGTCCCAAAAGTCAGAGGCCTGGGGATGTCATACTCAGATTGGAGGCCAAGCTCACAGGGTTAGAGGCCCTGGAGTATATTGAGAAGAATGGATTTTGCTAAACAAGATGTTTGCCACTTTCTCTTTTTGAACTGCCTACATTGTGCTCCCTGTCCCTCACCTGAGTGCTCTGCATCTTTTCACCTCTCTGCTCACTGCCTCTGTTTTGTAGCAGTCTGGAGGCTACCACAGGAAGCAGACCTCAAACAGTTTAGCTTTTACTTTCCTCAATGATTTTCGGACTTTTAGCTGACTGCTTGTTTAATTTGCCACTGGTCCAAGTGACACTGGAAAAAAGAGATGTCTTGGAACCTAGTATCTTTGTACCTCGATTATCAGAAAAGATGAGCAATAACCTCTCTATCATTATGATTAGAAGTTGAAATGTATTTAACAACCTCACATGGCAAAAATCAGACATACCTCTTTAGCAACAGCCTCTTTTATGACAACCCCCTGCAAACAATTAGCCTCAAGATGGAAGAACATGAGACTTTTTCTTATCTGTTTTCTCTCATTTCTTAACCAGAGGGTCATCTTTAATGGCTGGTAAAGGATAGCTGGACCCTACTCTCTAAACCCAGCATGTCACTTTTTCCCTGAAAGAGTTTTGTTAGTTTTGTCATAGTAGTGTGAAAATGGACTAATATATTACAATATACAAATTGTACCCTTCCTTTTTTCTCTTGTTTGGTCTGACTCCTTTTTTTTTTAGCAGCTTAAGTTGTTTTATAGAAGATAAACTAAATGGAAGGAAATACATTATTAACAGACTTCTCTGATGCTTAGGATAAAAAAGGGAAAATAGGCTTGCATATGTTTGATGGAGGAAAAAACAAAACAGGGACTGGACATAATTGAGTACTCTTTAATGCAAGTGCCTCAATATTAGGATTTTCTTAGCTGGGGCTGAACTTTCTTCTGCAAGTCCAAGCACCCTATGATAACACAGTCATACTCCTTCCAGTTCTGGTGAGGTGTGCAACGTGTTATTAATTCCTTCTAGTTTTCCATGGTTATCTAGTGTCCAGTCATCTTCTTCTTCCTGCCTTTTGAGTCCTATCTTACATACATACCCACTCTCGAAAGACCCAAGCCTCACCAGAACAACGTGCAGTGTGGCCTCTTATCAGCTGGCAAAGCTGAATCTTTGCCCTCTCTGGGAAGTGGCAGATAATGGTGGGGACACTATATATGTACTTTTTCTATGTGTGAATTAGCTGCATGCAAGGAAAAACTTGAACAGTTTTCAGAGGATTCAGGCAAGTTCATAGACAAATAAAAGAGGCTAACCTTGATGTGTAATTTGACCAGGCAAGATGTGGATATATTTATGTCTACCTGCTGCATTGTAGAAAAGCAGTGTATTATGGGAGTGGCTAAAGTACATGCTAATAGGGTGGCAGCCTGCAACCAGGGACATGACATATATCAAGTAGGAGGCACAGCAGTGGCTGACCAGGACCCGAAAAAGAATTAGGACCTAGAAAAGAGAAAGAAATTAGGAAGAAAGTAGGATATATAGAGAAAAAATTATGATCATTTGACTCCTTGAAAGAGAAAACAAATTGTGATAAAGCTTTTCAATTTTTATAAAGTCAGAAAAATTAGGAAAAACATGAAAACCTAGCCTTATTACAAGGGTAGATAATTTAGACTTTGAAGAAATAAACTAACACTGCCCCTGACTACAAGAATGAACAGGCATTGCTAGGAATTCATTTTATAACCCAGTCTGCTTAGATATCTGCAGGAAGTCATGCAAAGCAGGCTTAGGTCTCCAGATTCCCATGATTCAGCTTTTAGCCTTGGCTTTTGCAGTTTTCAGTCACAGACATAGAGCAGAGACAAAATAAAGCAAACCTCCCAAAAGGCACAGCTTCTAGCTACAGTCTTGCACCCTCTACCACTTCAGAGCCAGCTTCTTAACTCCTGGCCCTCACAGAGGAAGTGAGAAGATAAAAGTTCCTATCTGGGTTTCTGGGCCACTGTGCCTTGAGTATAAATCAATTGCCTTCTATAAGAAGATTGGTCGCCACCGAAGGAAATGCGCTGTGCTTTCAAGGGAGCCATTATCAGAGCCCAGCAGACACAAAAGTGGAAAGACCTGATACTTCCTGCCTCCATTCCCATGGGACTATTAGCCGTCGAGAGATGGAGAGCCTCAGGTGACTCTTGAAGTGGTAGGTAGGAGATATGGGAGCAGATGACTCTGTCCTGATTTAATGCTGTGGGCTCCTGTCTTATGACGAACAAGCCCCAAAACACTGCTCTTTTTATTTTCTAAGTTGTTCTCCAGGTCCTCTGGGTTTCTCATTCAGACAGTTTTTAATACTGTCTGAATACCTGACCTCTTACTGGGTAGAGACTTATTGACTCAGGTGACCAAGCCATGGTGACCTTCATAGATCATAAAGCAGATAAAATGTTACCTTTGTTCCTGACCCCTTGGGGGGAAAAAAAAGTGAAGGATGAGTTGTCATATTTACCACCTGAGGTGTTGTCTCAAGTAAATCCTGAGGTTTGGGCCACAGAGGCTCTGGGAAACACACTAAAGACCATTCAAATCCAAGTTCAGTCTCATGCTCCTCGCCCTAGGAAGACACGATACACTTTGGGGCAGGGCGCATGAGAGGAAATTCATTATTGCCAAATTCTTGCCATATGATTTATTAAGGCTAGGAAAGTCTCCTTAACAATACTCCCATGTTACCAGATCAAAAGCCTAATGGCAAGTACAGATTTGTCAGAAACCTTAGAGCATTAATAAATGCAGTTGTTGCCTCCATACACCCCATTGTCCCCAATCCTTACCCAAGTCTCAGGGGATGCAAGCTGGTTTACATTCTTATATATGAAAGACACATTTTTCTGCATCTCAGTGCATCCAGATTCACCATGTTTGCCTTTGAGGCTGCAGTGAGCCAGCCATGATCGCATCACTGCACTCTAGCCTGGGAGACAGAGTGAGACCCTGTCTCACACACACAATCACACACACACACACACACACACACACACACACACACAGGTTAAATTTGTTGGATTATATATTTAGGGGTTAAGCATCTTTGGTTATAAAATATTTATGGTTGCAGGAACAAGTTAATAACTAAATAAAGACCCCAAACTTACAAAAATATACCAGTACTTTAAGCAAAAAGCATTCTTAATTTAAAAATAAGTTTTACTTTAAAGATAAGAGTACATTCATAAATTATTGTTAAAATCAGTAGTAACATAGAAAAGTAACAATACTAATAGCCTGACACAACTGATCACAGGCCTTTATAAGAGATAACACTGATCCTAATAACCTATAGAAACAAACTTTAAGTAATCCTGTTGGACACCAGCATGGTGAAACCCAGTCACTACTAAAAATACAAAAAAATAGCTTTTCACAGTGGAAGTATTGTAGCCAAAGAATTTATCCGAGGCATGATTATTGCTGATAGAAAAGTTTTCCCAATACCCTGCCATGACGACTGGAAATATAGTCGGCATTGGCAATTTTTGACAGTTTCTACGGGGATTGAATGGGGGAATTATTTTACAGGCGGTGGCTCAAGCCTGTAATCCCAGCACTTTGGGAGGCCGAGGCGGGTGGATCACGAGGTCAAGAGATCGAGACCATCCTGGTCAACATGGTGAAACCCCGTCTCTACTAAATATACAAAAAATTAGCTTGGCATGGTGGCGCGTGCCTGTAATCCCAGCTACTCAGGAGGCTGAGGCAGAATTGCCTGAACCCAGGAGGCGGAGGTTGCGGTGAGCCGAGATCGTGCCATTGCACTCCAGCCTGGGTAACAAGAGCAAAACTCCGTCTCAAAAAAGAAAAAAAATCTGGAGAATATTAATTAATTAATTAATTAATTAATATCAAAATGGAAAAAAAAATTAGCTGGACGTGGTGGTGCACATCTGTAATCCTACCTACTTGGGAGGTAGAGGCAGGAGAATCCTTAAACCCAGGAAGCAGAGGTTTTAGTGAGCCGAGATCATGTCATTGTGACAAGGGTAAAACTCCGTCTCAAAAAAATTTTTTTTCCTTAAAACAGGTGCATTTCTCCTCTCGCTTCCTGAGGACTCCCTGCTCTGGAACTTAGTAATGACTAATAAACTCTCTTAACGTCACTAGACTCTGCAACTCTCCACAAATTCCATTTCACGTGAGATCCAAAAACCCATTGTTGGGGTCTGGGACAAGACCCCTTTTCTGGCGACAAAACTATATTAATTCTTTTCTTTCCTTTTTTTTTTTTTTTTTTTTGAGACGGAGTTTCGCTCTTGTTGCCCAGGCTGGAGTGCAATGGCGCGATCTCAGCTCACCGCAACCTCCGCCTCCCGGGCTCAGGCAATTCTCCTGCCTCAGCCTCCTAAGTAGCTGGGATTACAGGCACGTGCCACCACGCCCATTTAGTTTTTTGTATTTTTTTTTTTTAGTAGAGACGGGGTTTCACCATGTTGACCAGGATGGTCTCGATCTCTCGACCTCGTGATCCACCCGCCTCAGCCTCCCAAAGTGCTGGGATTACAGGCTTGAGCCACCGCGCCCGGCCCCCCCTTTTTTTTTTTTGAGGAAGTCTTGCTCTGTTGCCCAAGCTGGAGTGAAGTGGCGTGATTTTGGCTCACTGCATCCTTTGCCTCCCAGGTTCAAGCGATTCTCCTGTCTCAGCCTCCCAAGTAGCTGGGATTACAAGCACCTGCCACCGTGCCTGGCTAATTTTGGAATTTCTAGTAGAGACAGGGTTACACAATGTTGGCCAGTGTCAAACTCCTGACCTCAGGTGATCCACATGCCTCAGTCTT